ATTGCATGGAACTTCCAGTAAAGACTTTGAAGTTTGTTTGGCTGTAGTGTAGTACTGCATTGTTTAGCCACAGCTGATGATTTACCCTCCTTGAAGACAAGTGACCAAAAATGGCTAGTCAGTCCTGTTGAATACAATAACGATTCCCAACTTTTTCCATATGGAGTGACACTCTTTCATTTGTGTTAAGAAAATACTGGGCTGTGGCTAATACAAACACTGTCACACTTAATTCATAAACTACACAGTTTGAGTATTTTTTGTACAAAAATCTTTTAAAAGAAGTTAATATAATATTCCCAAAAATAATTGGAATACTGTTCATTGAAGCACTAGCATTTTGGTGAACAGAATTGTTCCAATTTAATGAATGCACTGTATATAACCACACAAGTTTTTTTTTCACAAAAAAAAAATCCTACTCCTTTTTAACTTTAATTCTTATATAACCATGTTTAAAGTGAAAGTAGGACTATCCAAGTGAGAACTGTCTGAAGGCTACCTCACTCATGGAACAGAGTAACGTGACTGTGTGAACCCAAGTCACATGACACCTTAATTGATTTATTATCTTGCTTGTGACTGGTGATCTTGTAAGGTTTGCAACTCCTTTCAAGTCTTAAACATCACTGGTTAAGTATAAGAAGTTTTAACCTCTGAAGATTGTATGAAATTAACACTTCACAAGTTATTCAAATCTTTCCTCTAAGCTAACAAAAATGGAAGCATGAAGTCATGAATAGGGATGTCATGATATGGAAGTGTTAAATTGGATAATTAGAGTTTTAAAAGAACATGTATCTTAAATGTATCAATATCTTACGGTATTGGTATAATGAAAGACTTAGTAAGTTGTTTACCAAATGTGCTTTGTACAAATAAATATAGTTCAAAATTCTGCGCATTTGTGCTTGCTTTCTTTACATTGTTTTTAGGAATTTTATAAAGACTGAGAAATTTAGTGTAAAATTAGTAACCATTGTTACTATGAAAGACTTCAAATTATTCGGTTATGATTTCATTTTGATTGTGATTTTCATTTAAGTCAAATTGTATTTTCCTATTTGTATTTACCATTAAAAATAATATAATTAGAGTTGCCTGTTGTTTTTTCCTTGATTTTTAAACTGTGATTTGCATATGTTGATAACTAGTATTGGTGGTTTGACCTAGTTTGTATCCATAATTTATTGTTCTTAGCTATCTTATTGTAGAAAGACATGCAGTAGATGACATCTTCACCAGTGAAAATGAGTATAAAGTCATGTGGTGACTGACCAAAAACATGAACTGTGCTTTCTCTCCACTTGAGCTGTGATCTGCTGTGTTTTTTCCAGCAAAGTTTGTTTGATTTCTTCTTTTATTTTTTTTCTGATTTCCAGCGTAGAAAATTCTTTTGGTTTTAGTATAAAATCATCATCTGACTAATCATCACCAATTTGCAGACACCTCAATCTCTTTTATGCTCTTTTGAAATGGATCATTCACGTTATCAGGTGGAGATATGGTATGTGATGGGAAAGGTAGAGAAAATTTGCCTTTTATTAAACTTGCGATAACTAACTGTTTTCTTCAGATATCTGTAGTCACAAAGTCTAGTCTTAATATTGATGTTCCCCGTTTTGAGTCTGTGTATCAGCCCAATAAAGCATTGTAGTGACAACAGGCAATGATGGAAGCATGGGAATGTCACTTACATTCCCAAAATGTTAAATTGAGAATTAATATGGGCTAAATGACAAAGTAAAATTGTTGCAATATTTTTTAGTTATTTACTACCATATTTGAGATTCAGTGGATTATCTCAATTTTCTTTGGTTTTAAATGTTGCAATTGGTGTAATCATTATGGCTCTCCTAGCATTTCCTTCTGAAGTGAATGCTTTTTAATTAAAAGATGCTTTCTAATTTAGCCCCTAGCTCATGTTCCCTTTAGATGAAACTCTTTCCACTTTATATTATTAGTACCTACATAGACCATGACAACTGTAGCTTTCCCCTCCCACTCCAAGTTCCTCTGAGCCCATTGGGATATCCTGAATCTGGGCACCAGTTAGGCAACACAGCCTTTGGGACTCTCAATCCTGGCCACAAAGAACTGTGTCTACTCGCCTAACTATACTTTCCGTTATTGCAACTGCATTTCTCTTTTCTCCCTGCCTTTGAATTGCTCCTTGTTTCACAGTGCTTTGGTCAGTTTGCTAATCCTCCCTACAGCCTCCATTCTCATCCACCCAGGGAGTAAGAATCTCAAACCTGTTAGATAGAAAAGCTCAAGGGCTGAGGATCTTCAGCACTACTTCCTGGGGATCCTTCTACCTGCCTTGCTGGTAGTCACACCCTCCTGTCCATGACCACTGATCAAATTATAGTAAAATTATATTCCATCAAAATCTGCATCTTTAATAGCGCAATATATCTGTCGTCATTTTGCCTTGCTTTATGCTAGTGCTAATTAAACCTGGTTCAGAATTAGCACCATCCTCTGATGACAAAGCCCAGCACATTCGTACAAAAGATGATCTGAAAGAGCTGCAAATATCTTCGTATTACCCTGAGGTCTCAACATCTAAGATGCTAATGTTGGCCAACTTAATTCACTGATATGTGAAGGGACTAGATACAGCAAAGGCTTATAGGCCCCAACATTCTGGCTGTAGTACTGAATATTTACCGAATCTGTTCTGATGCCATATCTAATATCTATCCAACAATATCAAAAATTGACCAGGTATCTGGTGTTAACAAACGGGTCATATCCAATCCAGTCAGTCACCATCCCACTGGTCTACACTTAATTATCAACAATGCTTCTTAGCACCTTTTGACATCTTTCAAATCAATGTTTGATTAGCAGGGTGATGCTGAAATAATCTCCCAAAAGAAACACTAAACAAATGAATTGAAAATGTCCTGAAGAAGGGTTCTGACCCAAAGTGTTGACTGCTCCTGGGGTGCTGTCTGACCTGCTGTTTTCCAGCTCCACATTTTTTGACAAAAACAGTTGCTGGAAAAGCTCAGCAGGTCTGGCAGCATCTGTGAAGGAAAAAAAAAATCAGAATTAATGTTTCAGGTCCTGTGACCCTTCTATCCTGCAAGCTGTGTTAATGAGTTTCACTGAACCTCTGGAATGGGCCATAGATAGTTGGCTATGTTTTTAAAACAAAAAGTGCCTTTGTCTCATTGGTAGCTGCTTTTCCTCAGCTATGAGACAAAGTCACCTAGTACTCACGGAACAGTACTGAATCCAGAGATAGCAGGAACTGCAGATGCTGGAGAATCTGAGATAACAAGGTGTAGAGCTGGATGAACACAGCAGGCCAAGCAGCATCAGAGGAGCAGGAAGGCTGACGTTTCAGGCCTAGACCCCCCTCCAGAAATGGGGGAGGGGAAGAGGGTTCTGAAATAAATATGGAGAGAGGGGGAGGCGGATAGAAGATGGATAGAGGAGAAGATAGGTGGAGAGGAGACAGACAGGTCAAAGAGGCTGGGATGGAGCCAGTAAAGGTGAGAGGAGGTAGGGAGGAGATCGGTCAGTCCAGGGAGGATGGACAGGTCAAGGGGGCGGGATGAGGTTAGTAGGTAGGAGATGGGGGGGGGGCTTGAGGTGGGAGGAAGGACAGGTTAGGGAGGCGGGGACGAGCTGGGCTGGTTTTGGGATGCAGTAAGGGGAGGGGAGATTTTGAAGCTTGTGACGTCCACATTGATACCATTGGGCTGCAGGGTTCCCAAGCAGAATATGAGTTGCTGTTACCTTCGGGTAACATCGTTGTGGCACTGCAGGAGGCCCAGGATGGCCATGTCATCTGAGGAATGGGAGAGGGAGTTGAAATGGTTCGTGACTGGGAGGTGCAGTTGTTTATTGCGAACCGAGCGTAGGTGTTCTGCAAAGCGGTCCCCGAGCCTCTGCTTGGTTTCCCCGATGTGGAGGAGGCCACAACGGGAACAGCGGATGCAGTATACCACATTAGCAGATGTGCAGGTGAACATCTGCTTGATGTGGAAAGTCGTCTTGGGGCCTGGGATGGGGTTGAGGGAGGAGGTATGGGGGCAGGTGTAGCACTTCCTGCGGTTGCAGGGAAAAGTGCCGGGTGTGGTGGGGCTGGAGGGGAGTGTGGAGCGGACAAGGGAGTCCTGGAGAGAGTGGTCTCTCCGGAAAGCAGATAAGGGTGGGGAGGGAAAAATGTCTTTGGTGATGGGGTCGGATTGCAGATGGCGGAAGTGTCAGAGGATGATGCGTTTGATCTGGAGGTTGGTGGGGTGGTACGTGAGGACGAGGGGGATTCTGTTTTGGTTGTTATTGCAGGGAGGGGGTGTGAGGGATGAGTTGCGGGAAATGCGGGAGACACGGTCGAGGGTGTTCTCGACTACTAAGGGGGGGACGTTGCGGTCCTTGAAAAATGAGGACATCTGAGATGTACGGGAAGTCGAATGCCTCATCCTGGGAGCAGATGTGGCGGAGGCGAAGGAATTGGGAATTTGGGATAGGGGATGGCATTTTTGCAGGAAGGTGGGTGGGAGGTGGTGTATTCTAGGTAGTTGTGGGAGCCGGAGGGCTTGAAATGGATATCGGTTTCTAGGTGGTTGCCAGAGATGGGGACAGAGAGGTCCAGGAAAGAGAGAGATTACTGAATCCCCACTCCTTTGCAACCCTTTTGTAATTTTCTAAGTAGCGCCTACGGGCGACCGCAACTGCACATGCGCTAGATGCCCACACAACTATGTCATCACGTAACATTGACGTGTGACATCACGAGCAAAGGCTGCCTTTACCGTACAGGCAAAGACAAAATACGTTTTTGAAGCAGGGTTTAGGCGGGACGGGAGTCAGGATGCGAAGATACAGGCACGAGGCAGCCCATATCGCCCTCTCTCCTCTACTTTTCCCCGTCGCCCGCCCTTCCGGGACCCCATCGCTCCACTCTTTTCACGAGCCACCTCCGCTCGAAAACCGATAAATGCGCACGCGCACATTTAAGCGGCGTGGCGCGCATGCGCTGGTGTCAGCAAATGCAGCTTTTCAAAATAACAGGCAGTTGAGAGGTCAGTGCTTCACCAGACACTGATAAGGTGAACGTATCGAACATTGTACTACAAAGGAAAAGTCTCTGGCCTGTTACAAAGAAAGACAGCCAACCTCGTACATCCGTAAGTAAAACTTTATCTCATCAAAATAGTGAAACAGAAGTTTAAGTTTCCGAACAACAATCGGAATAGATTTTTTAAGAGAAGATTTGTTTTAAGAACTTTAACAGAAATTGGAGCCTTATATCCAGGATTGGATGAAACGAAACAAGCCAAAAATATGACCAGAAGTGTATGAAATCTGACAAAAATCCACACTAGCTTAAATAAACTGATTGGAAACAAAAAGGCGAAAACTAGATAGCAAAAACAACTTGTAACACAAAAGACCGCAACAGAATTTTCCAACTCGAAGCTAAGAAGCTAGTTAGTTTAACTGCTGAAGCGTTAAGACACTTTGAACACTAATTAAAGGCTGTAGCTAGGGAATTATATATGAAACTTTCCAGCAAAGTTAAAATGGAATGAAATCCTTAAAGTGTTGCCTGAGTGTCGAGTACTCAGTCCACGATTAGAAGATTTACTAGAATAGATTAAATCGGGTTACATGTGTATTACCAGCCATCTTAGTTGGCTGTTTAATGTGTTTTTAAAACTGTCACTAAATAGATGCCATTATAGATATGGACTAAAATTCATTTTTTAAACTCGGTTTGTGACAACCTTCGCCTTGGGGTTGGAAATAGATTTGACATTTTTTTTACATGTTCTAATAAAAAGGAAACAGAGATATTCAATTCTCTAATTTGCTTTTGAAAAATCAAGCACCCACTTTTATCTGAGATAGTAGGAACTGCAGATGCTGGAGAATCCGAGACAAGGTGCAGGGCTGGATGAACACAGCAGGCCAAGCAGCATCATAGGAGCAGAGAGGCTGACGTTTCGGGCCTAGACCCTTCATCAGCCCCTTCAAAAGCCCCTTTTCTGATGAAGGGTCGAGGCCCGAAACGTCAGCCTTTCTGCTCCTATGATGCTGCTTGGCCTGCTTTGTTCATCCAGCCCTGCACCTTGTTGACCCACTTTTATCTGTTTATTTGAGGCAGTCTAATGTCAGATGACCTGATGAAGTCTACTTCTAGGGAAATTGGTTGATGGTTACTTTGGTTAAAGGACTCAGTGGAGCTCAGAGTAACAGTACTGTCTGCAGGTTGCTGCTTGGCCCCTGATGTTTTGCACTGTGCATTTCAACCTCCCACACCATCATCTAGTCACCATTCTGGTTACCAGAACTTCTCTGTCAGCCAGCTAAACATGGTCTTTCCTCATCCACGTTTACCTACTTGGTTTGTGAACTTCCTGTGTCCTTAGTTAATTCTTAAGAGAGGCTCTGCTGAGGGAGATGCAATCTCTGTAACTTCTGCTGTCTTCTTGCCCTGGCTGTCTTTTAACTTTTTTTCAGTCTTTATTTTAACTTTTGAGGATTTAGCCAGGGGTTTTCTCAACCCTTATGGATTCTACTTACCCATGCAGCACCACAGAAACTTGTCCAGCTTTCTGCACTTCTGCAGAGCTTTCCTGAAGCAGTTCTTTGAGGCATTTTCCTATCTCTCTACTTTCTGCAAGTGAAACTTTCTTTCACCAAAACAGTGCAACAGAAGTTACAATTCAGAAAAACATCTTCAAAAGCTATTTTTAAAAGCTTTTTGAAGAGAGGAAACTGCCTATAACTCAACTGCTTGTTAGTTCATTAGCAAACCCGTTAAGGAATTCCAGACTGCTCGTCAGTTTTTGATTCTGAAGCCACCCAAGTCAAAGCAGCCGTTTGATTGTCATCCTTTCCACAATTTTAAGATTCTCTCCATCCATTGTCAATGAACTGTGGTTGCAGTAGATATCATCTACAAAATGCACAGAAGAAACTTGCCAAGCTATCTTGCACACTCGCAAACATCATTTTGGATACTGTTACTGTATACAATTTAGAGGCTCACATTAAAGCAGGAAGAACAGATTTGAGTCAAATGTGAATGACTTGCAACAGGATAGAGAGCAACAGAATGGCTACTGACACATCTGAAGAATATCAGATTGGGACTACTTTTATTTGCTGTATACTTTAAAAAAAATTCTTAAGCCTTTTCCCCTCCTCTTCTGTCAGTATTCCAAAGGAGCCATTCCCTTGATCGCACCTTGGTTTACTCCTGTATCAACTTCAAACTTCATCCCCTTCCAATAGTACGTTCGCACGCAATTGTAAGAGATGTAACATGTTCTATCACTCCTCACTACTGGATGTTGGCTTTGTGGAACACATCCTCCTCGGTTTGCAAGCATAACCCTGGTCTACTGGTCACTTGATTTCATTAAACCATGGTGTTCTCGTTTTCATAGTCCTGTCTGTAGGCCTAGGATCAGTGATTCTAAAGTCTAGGAGATTATAGGCTTTTGTTCTCTCTCCCTGGTCAGTCAGGTTTGCTCTGTACATTAATAACCCAACGCACTTCTGACAATGGGATATATCCAATGTTCTTTATTAAAAGAAAGTACATTACAAAAAAAAAACTTCCCTGTAAAATGCTCACAATCACAAGTGAATCCTTTTACATGAACTTATCTGAAGATCAGAATGGAATGAGTGATCAGTACTCCATCTCAGCTTCTCATCATTGATCAATTGACCTTGCCCTGAGCTAGCTAAATTTTTGCTATGAGGTGAGTTACTATTTACTCTTTCCATAAAGGAAGCTATTAATTTAACATTCTTTACATTATCCAATCATCAACTTAACCACTGGTAAACATCACAAATATGTCATTATTTTTATGTTGTTTTGATCAATTAACTCTGACACTTGCTTGTGCCCTTCTGAAAAGAGACTTATCTCTTATTTTTAATGAACTGTTTATCACTTTTGTCATCCACTCAACTGTACATTTACACAGATTAATTCCATGACAATCACAAATTCAACTGATCTGTATCACATTATCAAATAACTCTCTGTTTAAAAGAAAACTTCAGCTTTTTAAGAATTACTGTGACAGTTCAGTCCATTACATGGTGGAACTAGAAAGCAGTGCAGGAGGCAATATTGCCCAACAACAGGTACAAAGTATTTCCAATGCAAAAAGGCAAAAAACAATTCAAATAGTACTGCAAATCTAAACATACAAGAGAAGTAAGAAAATTCTTTGAAAACCAGACTATTCGGGAAAGTGCAAATTAAGAAATAAATGAGAATACAAATTTTCCAGGTGAAGTAAAAGATCAAGAACAAAAATTTTGGTTAGTTACTTTGGCAGTTAAAGGATTAAAAACAGAGATCAAATTTGATATTCACACATGTGCTACAGTCCTGGATGACCTTTTAGAATGGCTCAAAGCTTTGTAATTTAATTCTTGATGGCTAGATATCCAATATCCAGGTGTCTCAGATCTTCTAGTGAAAGGTCAGATACCTACCATGCTCAGCCACAATGAGGGAAAGAGTTAAACAAGACACTTTACATTTTACACAATCAACGAACACTTTACTGACCAGAAATGCATGTACATAACTGCAACTTCAGAGCAAAAAAAATCTCATAGCAAGGTAATGGGACAGCATTCTACAAGAATTCCCACAGCCCTTTCAGGAGTTGGGCAGGCTTAAACATGGATATCATATTGCATTGTTTCAAAATTCTAAACCAGTATGTCTGTACAATCCCAGAAGGATACCACATCCATTGATGGAGAAGGTAAAAGAGAGACTAAGCAAAATGCTACATAGAGGATCATATTACCCATCACTGAGCCAACTAAGTGGTGTTCAGTGCTCATGATTGTTCCCAAGCTACTTGATTCACACAGGCTCTGTGTAGACCTGACACAATTAAACAAAACAGTTCAGAGAGAAATCCATCCTATGACCTCTGGAGATGTCAGCTTGGCAAAACTTGTCAATAGTATCTTCCTTCTCAAGCTTGGCACTAATAGTAGATTTTGAGCAATACCCCTTCACCAGGTTCCAGGCTGTTAACCATCTTTATTAAACCTTTCAGGCCATTTTGTTTTGACTGTCTTCCGTTTGGCATCTGATCAGCTCTTGAAGTATTCCAGTGGAACAAACATATCAAACATCCTCGGAGACGAAAAGGAAGTAACTTATATGACATGCATATCCATGGCACTACAAGCGAGGAGCGTGGCCATAGAATCTATGAAATTCTGAAAGCCTTACAGAAAGCAGGAAGAACAGTCTACCAGAAAGAGACACTACCTCACAGTCGAGCATGCATAAGATGGTAAATAAAAGGAATTTTGCAGAAACCTGTGTAAAACTAGTCACTCTTCAGTAGAAGAAGTCTTACTATTGTACACCAGGCCACAAATTACTTGAAGAAACATTTAAATAAATTTAAAAGTAGAACCACAAATCATCCTCCCCTCTCTCTCAACTTGCAAATTCCCAGTCAAATCCAGCTATATGCTCGCCACCTTTTGTCTTGTGAGTCCCATCATATCAACTACATGTAAAGCAAATTCTGGTCACTTTTTCCTATAACATCATCTACATCCCCCTTCCTCACCCCAACTGCTGACAGATCTGGCTAAGCCCCTTAAAACACTATTGTGTTCTATTCTCATCTGCTGAAACTGCTCACTATTTCAGCATTTTTGGCTGACTGCTTGAAGGAATTCTAAAGTCACTTGCAGTTACCTCCACTGAAAGTAACCATCCTTCCACTGACTAATCTGTAACAACTGGAGTATTATTGTGAAGCAACACTAGAACAAGCATAGGCATATGTAAGACTATCACTAAGAAAATGTACTAGGCTGATTTTATCTGCAATATTAAATGATTACAGTGAAAAGTCAATAAATTGCCATTTACAGTGCCACCTTAGGTACAAAGGTACCTGGGTATGATCCTTTGTTACAGAATAGAGAAATGAAGAAAAAAGTTACATTACAGCTGTACACAGTATAAACATAGGTCAGATAAATAACAAGTTTAAAAGATAACATCACAGTATCTCTCCAAGAGCTCTCCACAGCAGACCAGAGCAGGGGATCTCCACATGGTCTGACCGCTGTCCCCGCTTCAGAGGCCAGGGCGGGTGTCTGAGGCTGGGAGAGGGGAGGAAAAGAGGGACAAAGGAAGGAAAAGTACAGGCGGAGCAGAAGGGCTCCAGCTGCAGCATCCTACATTGTGGCCTACCTTCTTCAGTATCTGTTCATAGAAGGAAATAATCCTCCAATTCAGTTAGAATTGCGCTTTCAAAATCGCAACAGTCTAACTTTTAGCTCTCCATTTACATTTCTATAGCTGATTTGTTCAACTGACCCCCACTTCCACCTTTGATGTCCAATTATCCAATAAATTATTATTCTGTTTAAACATGACGATTACCCAGTTCAGTCCTTTTCTCCCCGTAAATCCAGGGGGCAGAGTCTTGCATAGATGTACTGGACAATTGATTTAAGCATTTGCTGACAGATCTGGCTATGCCCATTAAAACACTACCGTGTTCTATTCTCATCTGCTGAAACTGCTCACTATTTCAGCATTTTTGGCTGAGGTGCTTGAAGGAATTCCAAAGTCACTTGCAGTTACTGCCACTGAAAGTAACCATCGTCCCACCGACTAATCTGTAACAACTGGAGTATTATTGTGAAGCAACACTAGAACAAGCATAGGCATATGTAAGACTGTCATTAAGAAAATGTACAAGGGTGATTTGATATGCAATATTAAATGAATACTTTATTCTTTCTGGAAAACAACTTTAACATTTTAATTGCACGAAGAAATTCCCTTAAAGGTAAAGTCGCCATAGTCCTACCAGACCATGGGGCTGCTCTGAGATTACTGGTGGTGGTTTAACCTGGAAGACATGATACCAGAAGCAAGGGGTAAAGGTTGAGCAGAATCTGTCTTCTAATCTCAATGACCTCACTTAAAGGACAGAGGACAACAAACTTCAATCTGTTGTAAATATCTTCATATTTGATACCTTCCAAGCTGGATCTGAAGTTCATTATTGGTCACTTTCATTGTCAATGGAGTTCTTGTCTTGTGTATAGCACATGGCAGATTTCAGTAACAGCATCCTTACTGAAATGCTGGTATTTGCACATATTTTCCCCACTCAAGTGCAACACTGGGCAGAGATTGCCTTCTGCTCTTTTCTCCTTCCCCACCTCTTCCAGAAGCTTGCCATACTCTGCATGTCCTCTGTTCATTCTCTTCGGCAAGTGGATTATGCACTTAGCTTTGGGAGGGGTTAAGAGAAGGCATTAGCTGGCATGTTCAGGAGGTGGTGGTGTAGTGATGTCACTGAACTAGTAATCTTTCTGCTGGGGACACAAATTTAAATGGTGAAATTCAAAACTAATAAAAATATGGAATAAAAGCTCACCTAACAATGATCATGTAACCATGGTCAGTTGTTATCTGATTCACTGATAGCCTGAGGGAAGGAAATCTGCCATTCTTATCTGGTTTGGCCTACAGGTGATTCTCAACCCACAATAGTGTGATTAACTCTTATTGTCTATCCCTAATTGTCCAGAGGGCAATTCAATACAGTCCTATCCAGTGTAACCCACAATGCAAGAACACACAAAGCTGTCATTCTTACAGATAACAGTATCCAGAACAACTTGCCCCAAAAATATGCGAGACTATAAATTCAATTTGTCATGCAACATGTAATGAACAAGACCCAAAGCATTTGACTGTTCAAAAAAAAAACAAAATCTAGAGACTTAGAATACAAAACCTCATCTTAATTCATACAGAAATTAGACATTAGAAAGGAAGTTGAGCTTAGCTTTTTTGGTGAAGATTGATGGAAATTACTTGAAATTTAGTATTAATGGTATTGATAGAGAATTCACAAAGGAGACAGATTAAATACTGGAAGCATCTAAAAACATTGAGCTTTTTCATTAAGTGAAAAGTCTAATTTATTTAAGTAAGGCGTTTGATAAGCTTCCCCATGGTAGGCTCATGCAGAAAGTAAGGAGGCATGGGATACAGGGAAATGTGGCAGATTGGATTCAGAACTGGCTGACCGTTAGAAGACAAAGGGTGGTAGTGGACAGAAAATATTCAACATGGTGCTCGGTTATGAGTGGTGTACCACAAGGTTCTGTTCTGGGTCCTCTTCTATTTGTGATTTTTGTACATGATTTCGATGTAGGAGTGGAAGGGTGGATTAGTAAGTTTGCGGATGATATGAAGCTGGGTCGAGTTGTGGATAGTGCGGAGGGCTGTTCTAGGTTACAAAGGGACATTGATAGGATGCAGAGCTGGGCTGAGAAGTGGCAGATGGAGTTTAACCCTGAAAAGTGAGAGGTGATTCATTTTGGAAGGACAAACTTGAAAGCAGAATACAGGTTAACAGAAAGATTCTTGGCAGTGTGGAGGAGCAGAGGGATCTTGGGGGTTCATGTTCACGGTTCCCTGAAAGCTGCCACCAAGGTGGATAGAGTTGTTAAGAAGGCATAAGGTGTGTTAGCTTTCATTAATAGAGGGATCGAGTTCAAGAGCCGTGAAGTTACGCTCCAGCTATACAAAAGCCTGGTTCGGCCACATGTGGAGTATTGTGTCCAGTTCTGGTTGCCTCATTACAGGAAAGATGCGGAAGCGTTGGAAAAGGTGCAGAGGAGATTTACCAGGATGTTGCCTGGAATAGAGGGAAGGTCTTACGAAGAAAGGTGGAGAGAGCTAGAGCTTTTCTCTTTAGAACAACGATGAGAGGGGACTTGATCGAGGTGTACAAAATGATCAGAGGTACAGATAGAGTGGACAAGCAGAGACTTTTTCCTAGGGTGGGGGTAGCTATTGCGAGGGGGCATAGTTTTAAAGTGAGTGGAGGTAGATATAGGGGAGACGTCAGAGATAGGTTCTTTACTCAGTGTGGTCGGGGCGTGGAATGCATTGCCGGAGAGGGTGGAGGAGTCAGCCTCACTAGGGGCATTTAAGCGGCTATTAGATAGGTATATGGATGACAGTATAAGGTAGGGGTGGAGGTTAGATAGACCTTAGGATTAGGGTAAAAGTTCGGCACAACATTGTGGGCCGAAGGGCCTGTACTGTTCTATGTTCTAAAATGTGAAATTGCATCCTCCCACAGTCACCCAATGTAAAATGGATCAAGGAGGACTTGGGTACCTTTCTGTAGAGATAACAGATTTAGAGATTAGGGTAAGATGACATTGGTAGGGTTAAAAAAAAAACTTAAGTTTGTTGGATGTGACGGTTTACCCATTTCTTTAAATATGCATATTCCTGAGAACGCAAGCCCAACATTGTGGTTTCATGCATACTACTTGGAAAGAAGGAACTGGGAGTGGTCCTCAAATTACTTCATAAGAAATGTCACATTTAGTGTGGATTCCCAAACATAGGGCAAGTTATTTTCAAACTTACTTCAAATTTTCTTACAACATTGAGTATTCTCTACTGCTTCACCACATAAAAGTACAGACATAATAGAAAGTATTCCCAATTTCCCTTTCAGATTAAAGTGAACAAAATTAGTTAATAATCTTACTTTTGCAAGTTACTGGATAATTATCCAAGGGTAGACTTCAGTACCCAAAAAAGATGTGAATCATTGGTGAATACTTAATGCCGAGAATTTCAAATCAGAATTGTACTTATCAGGAGATAAACAAATAAAGGCTACCAATTAAAAAGAATCAAATTATTTAGATGGTGTGCTGCAAGCATATAATTAGCAGCCAAATTGAGTATGCAGTCTTGTGCACTTTTGGGCAAGTTGCATAAAGGAGATCACAAAATGAATTTCTAAAAAAAAACTGCAAGATAGTTATCATTCTTACATGGTTTAAGAAATCTTTTTTAGCATTAATTTTTATATCAAGTAGCTTAATAAGAGTAATAAACTTCTTCCAACACCATGGGCACTTAATGACAACCATTTGTGAGGTACCTTTGTTAAATGCGTTCCGCAAGTCCAAATAACACATCTACTAGTTCCCTGCTCAACCTCACCTCATCCCAGACTCAGCCTACTGAACATTTTCTGAACTTGTTCCAATGCAAGAACAAGTTCAAGGTAACCAAAACTATATACAATATTCTAGGTATGGTCTTGCCAATGTTCTGCACATTTAGAGCAAACTTCCTTGCTGTTATGCTTTATCCTCATCAATAATAAAGTTCCACTTTGACTTCCTAACGAATTCCTGTTCCCACATGATGACTTCAGCAAGTTTACTTTACAAGGACAATCCAGTCCCTCTGTACTACACCATCCTGCAATCACTTCATTCAAGTAATATTCTGCTTTATTCTTCAAAGTGGACAACCTCCCATTTCCTTCATTTAACTTCACATGCCAGATTTTGTCCACTATCTATATCCCTTTGCAGACTTTGTTTATCTCATGAGATGCATTCCTACCAATCTTTATATACTATTTAACTCCTCTGCCATTTCCTGGTCCCCAATATTTCCCCAGCCTCTCTCTTCCTTTTAAAATCTTCCTGGTGCGTTCATCAAGCTTAAATGGCTTACACACAACTATTCTCCCCAGGGAATACATTAAGCATGACGAGTGCTATTTTACCTTGGGTTGCACAATCAAAACCCAACTTTAAAAGAACCAAACCATACAGTATTTTAACAAGTTTGATAAAGAATTAAGAGCACATTTAAAATTGATTGGAGCGAAGAGTTACTCGAATAAACATGCCTGACGCTGGAAGTTAATTTTATGGATTCAAGTTTAAGAACACCATCTTTTCGATTTCTTTTTTATTAACTGCTTTATTACATTGGATGCAGTCAACCCACAATGTTTAAGTTTAGGTTGGGCTCTGAAAGAAACTAGCTGCGATACAAAGAATAGCAAGCTGGCAATTTGAAAGTGAAGCAGGTATTAAGCATCCCAAACTAAGCACATCATTTCCTGGCAAATTGCAATTTGAATCCTGACTAATGTGTAAACTAGATGTAAACTAATGTGTAAACTACTGTCTGCTCACACTTTCTGAAAGTAAACAGGTCTGAACAGAATCTGTCCAGGGATGCCTTCCAAATGGCACTGAACTGTATCATTACTATTAGTTGACATCTCCAGAAAAGGCAGAAAACCAACAAAAATCAATACTGGAAATGCTTTTGGAGATATATTTGTCAGACTAGGATTTTGTTCCTCCAGCTACATCTTGGAAATAAACAAAATGGGGGAAAGAAACTTCATTAAAATTATATTACCTTTATTAAAGCCTTTTTAAATACGAAAACGGCAATCCACTTTCACAGCAGATCCACAGAATTATTCTCCATCAAGTGTTACACCCAAATTAAATCTTTGACAAAACATTGAACATCACCTTGAAGACCCAACTATAGAAGCTCCAATGAAAATAATGAGCAGGATCTGAACCAGGCTTTAAAATAGCTTTTATTATCAAAGCTCACATGTAAAACAGAAATTTGTTTTCATAAACTGTACAAGACCATGGCACATTCTGCAGCCAAAATTGCTAACCTGACAGACTTGTCAGTATCAAGATAAAGAAAACTATTTTCCTCACAAGACCTTGCACATGAACTCCAGTTTGTGCAGATGCTCACTATTTGAAAACAGTGTGCAATACACGAGTGATAAATTGAAGAGCAGGAAATATCAAAGTACGTTATTTATTAGAGCTACATACAAAAGCAGACAAAGCCACTTAAAACTAAGAAAGCCAAATAAACAGTGAACTACATGAACTCAAATCTACAGTCACAAGGCTCATAGGATATGTAACTATCTACATCAGTATTGGTTGAGTTTCTTTAAACAAATATTACACATTACTGAGGTTCCTACTCTTTTCAAAGGAGATCCCTGCATATATTTCAGAAAAAGCTTCTTACTGGCACACCAATCTGATGCTATTAGAAGTGCAGTTTCACTTCCTGAACCAAGTCATCTGCACACCTCTTTCACAAACTGTGTTGAACAAGGCAGGTGCCAAAGTCACCACTTTCTAATTATAGAAAATATTATAGAAGGGCGACACTTCAATTCTGACAGAAAGCACTGCTAAAAATAATCACTTCACATTAGGAATATAAATCAGCTTTCACTAAGTTTATTCACTCATGTCCATGTCTTCTTCATGGTGATCATCACCATTGACCTTTGACTCTTTAACAACATCAGTACTTTCCTTGTCACTCGGCTGTGCAACTTCTTTCAGTTTTGGGGACACTGCAGATTCAGAAACTCTCTGCTCTTCTTTTCTTTCTTTCTCACTGTCATATCCTTGTTCCTCTTCATCATAATCTCTTGTAACCTGCATGAAAGTAGGAAACTTTGAAAACCATTGTTCAATAAAACCAAGTAAAGACCAAAAGAACTGTGGATGCTGTAAATCAGGAACACAAACAAAGTTATTGGAAAAGCTCAGCAGGTCTGGCAGCATCTGTGAAGGAAAAAATAGAGTTAACGTTTCGGGTCTGGTGACCCTTCCTCAGAACTTCACAGATGCTGCCAGACCTGCTGAGCTTTTCCAGCAACTTCGTTTGTGTTCAATAAAACCAAGCCACGTAAAATCAACTAACAACAGTCAAGCATTCATTCTACTGCAGAAAAGGAACAATTCAAGCCAGTGGAAGTTTACAGAGGGGAGATTATATCAATTATTTTCAGATTTACCTTCACATCTCCTTTTTCACTCTCTGCCTTTTTCTCCCTCTCCTTCTCCCGCTCTTTGTCTTTGCTCTTCTTCTTTTTGCTAGATGATCTCTCCCTTTCCTCTACTTCTCTGCTTCTGTCTCTGTCTTTATCCTTTTTCTTTTCTTTCTTGTGCCTGGAAAATAAGTTGATCAAAGAATTTCAATTAGCTTGAAGATTAATCTTCTGATGTGAGAAGTAGAACAGTTTCAAGAGTTGGGTTTTATGGTGATGGTGGTCAGCAGGGATGGGTACAGAAGAGGAGAAATGTAAGGAGACAGGGACAAAGCAAAATGAAACAGCTCCTTCATCCAAAAGAAACAACCTCAAAACACTGGACAAAAATGCCAGCATAGATCTCATATTGAAGTGCGACTACAATCCTGAACCTTCTGTGATGCAAGCTTAAAATTTATTTGTTATAATGTAGTTTACTTCGGATTTGAGCTACTGACATGTGGATTTTGGTCTGTATTATTGAAGGAACTTAATATTAAGTACTTCTATAGCCATGGTGATTTCTTAAAAACAGCGCAAGTGTATTTCTGGCTTACAATGGGGTGTTGTCATAGTGCGTTAGGCTTTCAATTTATGAAGTTCTGGAAATTGCTTTTTATTAGGCAAGATACCCGTAGTTTTGAAAAGGTTTTCGGGTTCAGGTTGGCTTTGCAGAATTCTTGACTGAAGCTGGATGTGTAAAACAGCTGCACTTGATGAAAGGAGACAGTTGAGAATTGTTAGGAAACAGGTTCCCTCAGGGTAAGGCAGTGTAGTTTGAAAAGGAATTTGTTGATGCTGACAGAATCTAAGCTCAATTGTTTAAAAGCTCCGGGAAGAGCCCATCAGAATGCCAACATGGGGATCCGAAATCAGTTAAATTACACCCAATAGATTTGAAACGTAGAACATTTAACAATACAGCACAGGAATGGGCCCCTTCAGCCCATGATGTTGTGCCAAACATGACGCCAAATTAAACTAATCCCTTCTGCCTGCCCTTCCTTGCATATTCATGTGCTTATCTAAAAGTCTCTTAAATGCTCCTATCATGTCTACCTCCGCTACCATACCTGGAAGTACATTCCAGATTCCTACCACTCTAAAAAAAAACACTTACCCCTCAGATCTTGTTTGAACTTTCTTCTTCTCACCTTAAATACATGCCCCCTCCTTTTAGGGATTTCAACTCTGGTGAAAAAAAAGATCCTGGCCGTCAACCCTATCTATGCATCTCATAATTTTATAGACATCTATCAAGTCTCCCTTCAACCTCTGCTGTTCCAGAGAAAACAACCTGTGTTTTTCTAGCCTCTCCTTATAGCTCATACCCCTCTAATCCAGGCAGCATCCTGGTAAACCTTTTCTGCACCCTCTTCAAAGCCTCCACATCCTTTTTGTAATGCGGCAACCAGAACTGAACGCAATACTCTTAAGTGTGGCATGACCAAATACTTATAAAGCTGCAACATGACATCCTGGCTCTTGTACTCAATTCCCCGACCAATAAAGGCAAACATGCCATCCACCTTTTTTAAGCTCCCTATATCTACTTGCCCGGCCATTTTCAGGGAGCTATGGACTTGAACTCCAAGATCCCTCTGTACATGAATGGTCTTCAGGGTCCCGCCATTAACTCTATACTTTTCCTTAATATTTGATCTCCCAAAGTGCAGCATCTCACCTTTACCTAGATTAAACTCCATCTGCCATTTCTCTGCCAGATCCGCAACTGATCTATATCCCAATGTATCCTATATATCACAAACAGAAGTCCCATTTCGGATCCCTGCAGAACATCACTATTCATGAGCCTCCAGCCTGAAAAACACCCTTCCACCACTTCCCTCTGCCTTCTTTGGGCAAGCCAATTCGGAGTCCACGCAGCCAAGTCAATGGAGATCCCATGCATTTTAATCTTCTGGATAAGCCTACTCTGAGGGACCTTATCGAAAGCCTTACTGATATCCACGTAGATAATATCCACTGCTCTACTCTCATCGATCACCTCTATCACCTCCTCGAAAAGTTCAATCAAGTTAGTAAGACATGACCTGCCCTGCACAAAGCCATGCTAACTGTCCCTAATTAGGCCACACTTTTCCAAATGCATGTAAACCCTATCCCTAAGAATTCTCTCCAAAAGGTTCCCAACTACCGATGAGAGATTCACTGGTCTATAGTTGCCTGGATTATCCCCATTTCCCTTCTTGAACAGAGGACGGACATTAGCTACTTGCCAGTCCTCTGGGACCTCTCCAGTAGCTAGCGAGCCCACAAAGATCTCGGTCAATGCCCCAGCAACTTCCTCTCTTGCCTCTCTCAATAACCTGGGGTAGATACCATTGCGCCCTGGGGATTTATCCACCTTAATGCTCTTCAAGAGACCCAACACCACTTCCTTCTTGATCTCAAAATGCCCTAGCATATTAGCGTGCTCCACACAAATCTTAGTCTGCTTCATATCCTTCTCCTGGGTGAACACTGATACAAAGTTCCCATTTAGGATCTTGCGTACATCCTCTGCCTCCAAACACAAGTTCCCTCCTTTATCCTTGAGCGGTCCTACCTTCTCCCTAGTTATCCACTTGTTTTTAATGTATGTATAGAATGCCTTGGGATTCTGTTTAACCCAACTTGCCAAGGTCAGTTCATGGCCCCATCTTATTCTCTGCTTTCTTTATATTCCTTACAGGCCCTGTCCGATTTTAACTTCCTAAAACTTGCATTTTATTTCCCTTTTGACTAAATTCACAACCTCCCTCATTATTCCAAGGGTCCGTTGCCTTCCCATCCTTGTCCTTCCTCCTTACTGGAACGTGCCAGTCCTGAACTCTCATCTGCAGGTCTTCAAACAATTCCCACATGTCAAATGTGGACATGCCTGATAATAGCTCCTCCCAATTAACATTCCCTAGCTCCTTTCTAAATACTGGCCTAATATGCCCTCCCCCAATTTAGTATCTTGCCACAGAGAAGGGAATTCTGTCTCAGTATATTGTAAAGGCCTGGTTTGGAGATTAATGGATGTGCATTTTACCATGTTTAAACCATCTTTTTACCATCTTTAAAATTTAACAGATACACAAATATTTCAGTTTATCATATGTTATTATCATTTCTTCCCCAAAAACTTCTGATTTATTGTTAAAACCAAATCTGCAGCATTGCATGCTCATGTTTCAGTTATTAAAACCGTAAAAAACCCTGTCAAACTTTATTTTAGTCTGGGATCAGACCTGTCCAGTCCATCACTGGCATTGAATCGAGTTCTGAAAAACCTAGTGAAGTAGTAGCTGCATTTTACTTAAAACCAGTGTGACTTGTAGTGTAAATGGCTTGCCCTCAACTTTGACAGCTCTTTTTTGAGGAGTGTGGTCACAACAATTCTCAATCATCAAAACAGGGTCATAATAGGAAAACAAATTGGGAAGCACTGTCCCAGCTAAGTAACGATTGCTGCCACTGTGCCAAACTATAATGGCAGACTGTCAGATCAGCATCAGATAAAACTGATAATGTGGACAATTTCCCAGAAACACAAATGCCCATCAAGTTGAAAAATATTTGTATGTACTATTCAGATGCGATTCATCAGTGCAAAGTTTGTCTCATTTACCTTCTAGGGGATGGTGACCGTGACAGTTTACGTTTGGGTGATCGCGATTTCTTTGGGGACCTTGAAATACTCCTACTTCTCCTACGCCTTCGTTCTCTTTCTCGCTCTCTGTCTCTGTCAAAGGAAACATTTTAATTATAACATTCTATTACTCTTGTATAATCATCCTGTACTCAGGAATCGTCGTACAGTATTTGGCAAAAGATAACTATTTGCACAGTCCATCTTTTCTCAATTAAACTTATAAACTGTTCAAGGTTTACAATTATTCCTAAAAGCAAAACTTGTTTCCAAAACTACAAATCCTTATATTGAAACAACTCAGATTTTAAAAAGTCTTAGCAGCCTTGTTTCCAGTAGTTTAGTCAGAGCATGGTAAAATAAATCTCACTTACCTCAGGGATTTACAGCCTTGTTTCCAGGAACAGAGTCAGAAGGAATAACAGCCAGAGTAACCAAAACCTAACTGGAAAGGTGATGTCACAGGAGAACTGTGCCCTGATTGGCTGGTAGGAAATCTGCCTTAAAAAGGACACTCCAGAACTAATAAATAAATTAACTAACTGGGATTAACTAATAACTTAAATAACCAAATAGAGAAAGCTGGACAGGTGATGTGCTGTAGCTGTATGATGTGGGAGTTAGCTGATTCCATTGTGAGCTGCAGTGACCACATCTGCAGCAAGTATTGGTTGCTTGAGGAACTTTGGCTCAGAATTGATGAGCTGAAATCTGAGCTTCAAACACTGCGGTACATCCAGAAGGGGGAGAAGTACCTGGACGCTTTATTTCCGAAGGCTGTCACACCTGGTAGATTAAGTATTTCGAATTCAGTCAGTGATCAGGAACAGCAAAGTTTGACTGCAACTGAGGCAGGTAATTTTTTGAATAGTAAAGGAATTAAGGCTCATGGTGAGAAGGTGGATAAGTGGAAATGAGACCATGAAAATTGCCATGATCTCACTGAATGGTGCAGCAGGCTCAAAGGATCAGTTGGCCTACTCCTGCTCCTGGCTTTTATGTTTGTTCTCTTATGGAGGAGGTTTAAGAAGGTTAGGGGGAACAAAGACAGTTCTAACTACAGAACTGGGCAAGTGATGACCTAGTGGATTACCTACATGTGACTCCACACCCACAGCAAAGTTGTTGACTCCTAAGTGATCTCTGAAATTGCATCATAAGCTACTCAGTAGTAATAATTGCTAGAAAGTCTAAAAAACTGAATGGATCACCTTGCTGATTACCAAGTATCCCCTGCCCTCAGCTGATTAATCAGTACTTCCCCATGTTGAACGTCATTTGGAGGATATAGCATGTTGCACTGGTTTTATGTCAACCACTAAATGGCTCAGCAACAGCACAACTGATCAAGCTGCTCAAGTTCTAAAAGACTGCTCCAAGACTGGATCTGCACAGGTGGTGAGGGAACCAAGACAGAAAGACAGTTTGACCTGCCCTCACCAATCTGCCTGCTGCAGATGCATCTGTCTATGACAGTCAACAGTAAGACGGACGACTGCACAGTCCTTGTGGAGACAAAGTCCCACTGTCACATTCAGAACACCCTCCCCATTGGCTTGTATGGCACTAATCACCATGCTAAACAGACTATGATCAGATTTAGCAAGTCAAGAGTGGGCATCCATAATATGCTGTGGGACAAGAGCAGCAGCAGAATCATATTCCAGTACAATCTGCAACCTCATGGCCTGGCATATGCCTGACTACCATTACAATCAAGACAGTACATAAACCTGGTCCAATGAAGAGCATCACAGGTGCAAGTCTTCAGCCAATTAAATTCACCCATGAGAGATCAAAAATGGCTGAAGGCACTGATTTCCGCAAAGGCTGTAGGTGATGACATTCGAGCAATACTATTAAGACATGTGTTCCAGAACTTGCCACACCCCGAGTGAAGTTGTTCGCATACAGTTACAACATTGCATCGAGCTGACAATGTAGAAAATGGCCAGTACACAAATAGCAAGGCAAATTCAACCTGACCCATGACCATCCCATCAGTCTGCTCCTCAACATCACTAAAGTGATAGAAGGTATCATCAGCAGTCCGATTAAGCAGCACTTGCTTAGCAATAACCTGCTCACTGATGCCCTATTTGGATTCCACCAGGACCACTCAGCTCCTGACCGCATTACAGCCTTGGTTCAAACAGACAAAAACAGATGAATTGCAAAAAGGCGAGAATTAATGCCCTTGACCCCCAAGCTGCATTTAACAGAATGTGGCATCGAAGAGCCCTAGCAATATAGCAGTTAATGGAAAATCAGGAGGAAACTCTGCTGGTTGAGTCATGGCCAGCACAGAGGAAGATGGCTGTGGTTGTTGTATGTCAGTTGTCTCTTCAGGAGCTCCTCAGTCAAATCAGATTCAGCTGCTTCATTAACTTGCCCTTCATCAGAAGTGGTATATTTGCTGATAATTGCACAATGTTGAGCACCATTTGCACTCCGTCTTCAAATGCAGCTAAACTCAGAAGTTCTCCAAGTTTGGGCTGAAAAGTGGCAAATACCATTTGTACTACACAAATGCCAGGCAATGACCATCCCCAATGAGAGAATTTAATCATCATCCCTTGATATTCAATGGTGTCACCATGAAAGAATCCCCACAATCATCATAGGAGTTACCACTGACCAGAAACTTAACTACACTCATCATACAAATGCAGTGGCTGTAACAGCAGGTCAGAAAAAAGGAATCCTGCAAGAAGAGTCTTACCTCCTGACTGGCCAAAGCCTGTCCACCATCTAGAAGGCACACGTCAGGAATGTGATGGAATGCTCCCCAATTATCTACTTATCTACTAACAACACAAGAAATTTTACATCCCGCTTATACCCACTCCCTCTGCCACCGATGCTCAGTCGCAACTGTTGAACCATCTACAAGATGCACTGCAGAAACCCACTAAAGACTTTCTCAACAGCACCTTCCAAACCCACATTCACTTCTGTCTATAAGGACAAGGGCAAGGGCAAAAGATACATGGGAACACCACCTGCAAGTCACTAACCAACCTTGCTGGAAATATAGTGTTCTTCCTTCAACATTCCTTCCCTCCCTAATAGCATTGTTGGTCTACCTACAGAACAGAGACTGCAGCAGTTCAAGGCAGCAGCTCTTCTCCACCTTTCTAAAAGCAACTAGGGTTGGGCAATAAATGTTGGCCAGCCTGTGACACCCAAGTTCCACGAATGAACAAAGAAAAAAAAAGTTATTGGAAAAGTTGGCACTTCCTTCAATCCTACATACAAACTGGAATTACTTAACTTTGTTTCCACCTGGAAAATAGATCTTGATATACACTAAACACCACATTTCTATCTCAAAGTTCAATACCAATGAGTAACACAAAATATTGGTCCTAATTTTCTTCCTGAAGTTCTAAAGCACTCTTTGTCGTAGACTACAGAAAAAGAATGCTGCACAGACCAGAAACTCCCAACCTGGAGAAAGAAATACACACCCCTCTTAACAACCTGCTTGCATTGTATTTTAAAAAAAATGTAGCTTTGGTTAAGTGCCCCACTTGAATGCATACCTGCTAGGACTTCGAGACCGCCTGGCTGTGCTATAGCTTTTGGGAGGTGTTTTTGACCTTTTTTTCTCTTCCTTCTTTTTCTCTCTGCAGGGAATATAAAGTTCATGCTTAACAACAGCTGTACAAAAGTTCCTTTAAAATCCATGTTAAAATGTAGATATAAGTACCAAACAGCAAATCAAATCTGCAACAGACCTTGATTTTGATGTACTTCTAGACCGCCGTCGCTCTCTTGAGCGCGATCTTCTTCTTCTTGGACTTCGTGATCGCCGTCTGCTCCTAGACTTTGAATGTGAACGCCTTCTAGATCTGCTCCTGGACCGCCTGTTAAAATAGATCAGGTTCTATGTCAATTATTCAACAAAATAAACCTATCATCTAACAATACAAGTTGTACTTAAAGAATTGATCTGAACAAACAGCCAAAAACCTTAAAAAAAAAGTGCTCAAAAACAAATTTAAGAACAAACTGAGCTGTATTTAAGATTTAAACGTGCAGTTCAAATGTAAATCTCAAACTGACATGTTAGATGGAATGCTACAAAGTGAAGGGTTTTCTAAATATAGTCTGACTTTCAATAAAACAATGAGAGCAAGAAGTACAATCTGGGAAATTAAAGGAAGGGAAATGGAATTCTATTATATTAAAGTGAGAAGTGAGATGTCAAACTAAAAACACACCTAGTTATCTGGGTGCCTTGTACATGAATCAAAGGTTAGTATGTAGATACAGCAAATAACTAGGGAAGTTAATAGAATACGGTCACCCTTTACAGAGGATATTGAACAAGAGATTTTGGTTCAGTTATACAGGCACTGGTCACTCCTGGAATATGGCATACAATATTGGGAAACTTATTTAAGGAAGGATGCAAATGTGTTGGAAGCAGTTCAGAGGAGGTTTATCAGACTAATAGCTATAATCGTCAAGTTCATAGACCATAGATCATCAAAGAATCCGTACAGTGTGGAAACAGGCCCTTCGGCCCAACAAGTCCACGCTGACCCTCAGAGCATCCCACCCTGACCCACTCCCCATAACCCACCTAATCTGCACATCCCTGAACACTATGAGCAATTTAGCACGGCCAATCCACCAAGCCTGCACATCTTTGGACTGTGGGAGGAAACCGGACCACCTGGAGGAAACCCACGCAGACACAGAGAGAATGTGCAAACTCCACACAGTTGCCTGAGGGTGGAATCAAACTGGGGTTCCTGGCGCTATGAGGCAGCAGTGCTAACAACTGGGCCACCACGCCTGATGTATATAGACTGGAATTGTGTCTTGAGTTTAGAAGTGTAAGAAACAACTTGACAGAGAAGATCCTAAAGTGTCTTGACAGGGTAGATGTGGAGATGATGTTTCTTCTTATTTCAAAATCTAGAACCAGGGTCACTGTTTAAAAATAAGTGATCGCTTACTGAAAACAGAAATTGTGAAATATTTTCTTGGAGGGCCAGGAGTCATTTCCTGAAAAAGGCAGTGGAATCAGACTTGCAGAATCTTTAAATAATCTTAAAGGCAGAAGTGGAGAGGGGTTCTTGGTAAGCAAGGTCGTGAAATGTTATCAAGGTAGAAGGAAGTATGGTTTTGGGGTTACAATCAGATTGACCATGATCTTCTTAAATGCAGAGTAGGCTTGAGGGACTGAATAGCTTATTCTGGCTCATTATCACCATGCCTGTGAGAGTTCTATCATCTCAGGCCTGGGATATCACTGCAGCTGTTTCTAGAACTAACCACCTCCACTCCTTCATTAGGTCAAATCCTGGCATGTTCACTGATGACTGCACAATATTCACCACTATTTGTGACTCCTCAGCAACCAAAGTAACCCATGTCCATATGTAGCAAGACCTGGACGACATCCACTTTGGAGCTGATAAGGACCAAGTAACATTTGAACAACACTGCCTCAAACAAGAAAGAATCGATCCATCTCCTTATGATATTCAGTGTCATTATCATTGCTGAATCCTTGGCTAACAATCTTGTGGATTACCATTAAACAGAAACTGAACTGAATCAGCCATATAGGCAGAGGAACAAAAACAGAAGTTGCTGGAAAAGCTCAGCAGCATCTGTGAAGAAACAAAAAAAAAATCAGAGTTAATGTTTCGGGTCCAGTGACCCTTCCTCAGGCTGAGGCTGTTTGAGGGGGACCTGATATGGTGTAAAAGTTTCAGGGATATAGTTAGATGGGTAGAAGAAAGGTCAAAAACCAGAATCACAGATTTAAGCTAAGAGGTAGAAAGCTATGTGGGAAGCAGAAGAGAATTTTTTCACCCAAAGGATGGTGGGAGTGTGGAACTCTCTGCCCGAAATGGGTGGTTGACTCAGAAGCTCTCATAACATTTAAACAGTATTTATTCACTTGTGTTACCATAATTTTGAGGGCTGTGGGCCAAAAGTTGGAAAATAGGACTTGTGTAATTAGATTTTTGTTGACCAGCACAGGCAAAATGGGTCAAATAGTTTCCATCTATGCTGTAAACATCAAGGTCTATACAGATACCTAGGGCTACGCAAGGTCAGAGGTTAGGAATTCTGACCAGTAACTCTCCTACCTCCACTGCTCCTTCAACAACAAATGACTTATCTACATTACAAGGACTGCAACAGTTCAAGGCAGCAGCTAACAATCAGTTAGAGATGGTCAATAAATGCTGGCATAGTCAACAATACTTACATCCACAATGAGAAATTCTCTTATTACACGGCACAAACAGCTTCCCGTTGTTTCTGAATCTCTTGCCAATCACTTTATTCTGCATCTCCTGGTTAATGACCCTTCTATGACTGGAATCACCCAGATGTTACTAAATACAGAGATTCACAATAGTCTCATTGATATTCTATCTTCATTTTGAGGGATTTCATTCTTGACTCATGAAGACATCGCAACTCTTCACTGTCACTCTGACTTGGGAGTGTCTGAACACTTCTGGTAATTTAATATGGTCTTCCAGATCATGCTTCAACACCAATTTCCTTACACAGGGCCTGGGCACAACAATTCACTGTAATCCCCAATTCATGGAAGCTCTTCCCCTTCAGTTTCTTTGGCAGAAGTTACCTTTTCCTGGATTCCACCCGACCACTTAGGAAATTCACCTTTCCTCAACTTCCTATTTTTTCATGGAATGTGGATGTCTCTAGTAAGGCCAAGTATTTTGTTGTCTGCCACCAACTGCCCTGAGAACAATCAAGAGTCAACCACATTGCCGTGTCTGGAGTCAGCTATAGGCCACACCAAGGAGGATAACAGATTTGCTTCCTTAAAAATGACCTGAGCGAACCAGTCAGATGTTTACAGAACTTATAAGACATTGTGGTCACTATTTTAACTGTTTTTAATAGCCAGCTCTTATTTCTACATGTTATTAATTGAATTTAAATTCCACTAGCTGCCATGATGGGGTTTGAACAATGGTTCCCAGGACACTATCCTTGACTTATGGATTGCTTATCCTGCAATGTTACTATCACACGCCACCATTGCCTTGTCACCTTTGGTGACTTCTTCTGGTCTTTGTTACTTTTTCAGAACTCGAATCCTTCAACTTCAGAACCAGCTTTTCACTGCAATGAAGTAACCTTCCACTCAGGTCCTGGGGCTCCCTTTTTATAGGGCTCAAATTAGGTTTCAGAACAGCACACTCATGATCAAGATGGCCAGGCCTGCACTCTTTAAAACATTAAAAAGGAACGCTGGACTGAATGTGCATAATCTTATCAGACTGTGAACATAGGCCACGACTCCCATGGCATGCCAGAAATTGGAGCTCAGCTTTTGTCCAGAAAAATCTGCAAGTTATTTTCATAACAGACATACACAAGCACATCCCAATTATTGCAGTGTGGTGAATCTAAATTGCCACTGCTCTCAATCATGCATGGGAAGGAGTCAGTAGGAAATTTCAAAGTGCACTATTCACTTGTGAAAAGAGCTAGATAGTGATCATCTGCTCTTAGAATAACCAAGGCAGTGCTGTGAAGGAAAAGCTTAAAACTTGCCAGTCAAGAAAATAACATCTTCAAGGACCTTCTCAGAACTCGGGTAGGGAAAGAAGCAGTGGTTTTCTGTTCTGGCCTTGCTAATAAGTGCAGGAAACTATACGATGGAATGGGTGACAGGATAGACAAATATATAATTTCTAAAACTAATAAAAAGATTAGACATACATCCTTTTGTATTCTGGGCTGTATTTTTTTTTCATAGCGTCCCCACCCACAATGAGATGCAAAAACTTTGACTAAAAAGCTACTTTGCTTAGTCCCAAATTACTGAAGGTCAAGCATTTCTAACTTTGCACATCAGTAAGGAATGGAATATTACATTGTTCAGAAATTTGCATTTTCAAAGGTCTGCAATCTATACCATTTCAGTAAATGGACAACAAATCAAGATTTCAGTTGGCACAATGTATTAAATCACTTATTCAAATCATTATCCTTTCCAGTACAATTCTCAATGAAAAACAGTAACACTTCCTTTATTCTCACCTATGCCTTGATCGGGAACGGGAACGCCGCCTACGAGAGCGAGACCTTGATCGAGAATGTTTCCTTTTGTCCTCCTTTTTGTCTGAAATACAGAAGTCAAAATAATTGGAACTCAAAAGGAGCTAAATATACTTGGGTCAATTTCAAGTGTGTTAAAACTGTTGGGTCTACCCTGAAAACTCACTTTTTTCCAGATTGGGTTGCAGAAGAAAATGAGGACTGAAGATATTAAGCCACCCTCATTAAATCAAAAAATAAAAGAAGGCCCTAGTTGTCAAAACTCAGTACACATTGTGTGGTCACTACTGCTGCCTCAGAACACGCAACCCCAAAATCTTATTCCATGACCTCAGCAGTCGCAACCTATAGTTTAGGGTTCACTGGCCTAGCCAATGTCATTGACTTAGCAAAGCTGTTCCAATTGTCAAAAAATTGAACGCATGCCCCTTAGAAGTACATGCTTTCCTGACTAGACCAGTAATACTCCCTTATATTTATTTTATACAGCAAAATAATGAAAATATTTACTGAAAATTTAACACATTTGACCAAAATCTTTGAACATCTATTCAACTATGCAAATATTGCACTTTTTCCAAGAACTTGTCGTCACTACACCGAGGATTTTTATAACAAGCCATTTTACCAATTAGTACAATATGTAACTAATTTAATCACACAAAATTGAACATAAGGTAAGTATGCTTCTGCAGCAACTTATTTGAAATCTAAGCCAAATAAAAATAACAAGTGAACATGTTACCAGTTTCTATAGCAGCTGAGATCAATGACTGTGCTTCTTTAACTCTCTTCATTGCTTCTTCAATATCCTTTGAAGAGGTGTCAGATTTCAGGGCTGGACTCACAATGGCGCCAGCAGCATGGTTTAACCTGAGGGAAAAAAATGTATACGCAGTACAGTTCATGCCAAAACCTTTCCTGGGAGAAATTTGATCTGAAAAATGCATGCAGTATTTTTACTTAAAAAAGACCACAATGCCCACCATTAAAGGGTGCAGTTCCTTCCCCTAATTAGCCAAGAAAGATTCTCCTGACAACAATAGATCTGGAGCAGAATAGTTAATTGTTGGGAGTCAAATACTTCAGAAATGGTATCAGATTGGCCACCTCACGCTCCTGCTAATAAGCTTGGACAGTGTAGTCTGATGGCAGTCCAGCTGGAAAATGTATCTATCATTCATTGCTTCAACTGTTGATAAACACCTTTTCTTAAAAAAAAAGACAAAGAATATCTGTTTTGCTGAAGCATTCAAACTATTCAACCCCATTTAGTCTCCATGTATCAAAGTGCCCACCATGAAGGTCAACAGTACCGCTTTTATTAACAGGCGCTTCGAAAAGGTTGAGGTTCGAAAAGGTTGAGGTTAAAGAGCAGCAGGGATTTATAAGCATAGATGGTGATTGATTAATCCAATAAAATGTTGTGAAGTAACAGAAAAGGTTCATGAAGGGAACGTAATAGATGTACCCTCAGTTTCAAGTTGAAATTGAAAAATTGGCTGAAGTATAGAAATCAATGAGTTTTGGTAGGTGCTTATGTTTCAGCTAGAGGACTGTACACACAGGGTGTTACTTAAGGATCAGTGCCAGTGCCACTGCTTTTTTGATGCATATCTTAATACTGGAAAAAACATTAGGATTTTCCAATAATACCAGAAGTAGCAGTGAGAATAATCCTAGCAAACAGAAACAGGATATGGGGAGGGTGCATATATGTTTCAGATGGAATTTAATGCAGAGAAGATGAAATTTTATAATCTTTGAAAGTTACAGGAGATTTTTCATAATGGTTCTGGCAATGAAGGAATTTTAGCTAGAGGTTGCTGACACCAAAAATGCAAGGCAACTGCATCTGTGCGCATACTTGGGCTTTCTCCATACTTGTGTTTCCAGACCTCCACGTTGTCATGTCACAAGTGAGGCACTGCACAGTACAGACCCTGCATCAGGCCAGGTCCTGATCTCTCTGCCCACTCTCTCCTTCCCCACCCCCACATTCACACAGCTCCAATCTCTCTCCACCCTCTTCTCTGGGTCCCAATCTCCCATCAAACTGAGCTGGCATACAATTGAAACACTTAAATTTCAATCGCTAGCACATGCATAAACATCTCTCTAGAGCAGACTGTGCATACTCCTCACTCAACAAATGCAGGTTTTTAAGCTACAAATTTACATTGGGGAAAAAGGGATCATTCATCTTGGAGCAGAGATTGTGAGGAGTTTTAAGAGACATAAAAGCTCAAGGCCAATTTAGATAAGGTAAACAAAGAAAAACATTCCCACTGGTTGATCATAGCAAGGAGTGGAGACACTAAGTGTTTAGGCACAGGACGAATGCAACGGCAGCAGTGGGGGGTGGTAGAAGGACCTTTTTTACGCACACAAGTGGCAATAATCTGCAACTCTATACCGACAAAAGGGATGCAAGATATTGGATGGGCATCTGAACAACACTTGGAGGGCTACTGGGCTATAATGAGTTAATGGGATTGACTGGATTGATCTATGCAGCAGCCATGGGCTGAACAGCCCCTTTCTGCACCATACTGATGGCAACCCAATGATCATTACATAGCTCAAACCAGGAATTAAGCCCGAATTATTCTTTTTCCCCAGTTTAGAACTGCAGCAGTTTACTCTTTGGAACAAGTGACAAAGTTATGCCGGAAGTTATTCCATGTGCCAATAAGTGAAAACCACAGAGCACAAAGGTCTGATACCTTCCCTCATTAGTTTGACTAATATGTAGAGAATTATTTTTATTCAATAAAACAAACATTTTCCAACTTACTTTGGATCAACTTGAGTGATGAGCTTTAATAGCTGATCTGCTGTAACCTAAAAACAAATATAAATATTACTACATCATAGCAAAATACTCATTAGCTTAAGTTGAGAAATAAAAAAGGGATAACATTAATCATTGCAGAGCTTGGATAAATTCCACGCACTACAACTGCTAAATAGGGTACTCCCCAAATTGTAGCCCTTAGCAAATTCCATATCAATTATTTATTCTGTCAAATGGATCAACTGCGAAAACTCTGCATTCGCTGAGTAGCTACATTCTCCTCTACACTTGGTCAGGAACATCCAAGTTTGACACTGGAGAAGCAGGACAATAGAACCACTGGTTCAGAAATTTGATCAAGTTTCATTATTTCTCAAAAGGAAACCAAATTCAAAAAAAAGACTAGCCTGAAAGAATAAAAGCCTGCACATTTCAAACTTTTGCTGTCTGTTGCAATAAACAATGTGCAGTGTGCACAGTGCACATTCTCTCCTTGTCTGCTTGGGTTCCCGCCGTGTGCTCTGGTTTCTTCCTACAGTTCAAAGATGCGCAGGTTAGATGGAGTGGCCATGCTAAATTGCCCCGAGTCCAGGGATGGGCAGGCTAGGTGGATTAGCCATGGTAAATGTGGTGTTACTGGGATAGGGTGGGGCAGATGGAGCAAGCGGCCTCTTTCCACACTTCAGGGATTGTATGAATTGAATCTGTAAAGATTATGGTTCAAAGTAGTGAACGTAGTGAACCAGGTGAAAATCTTGTCAAATCCATTTTAATAATTAAAGCTTCACTTGAACAATACAAAGCCTCATATGAATAAGTTTGGAATAAATGAAAACACCAGGAGATGTAAGATGTATATCTCACCATCAGTGTGTTTCAATATCTACTGGCACATTAACTGTCCCAGTTAGTAAAATGGAACTTCCACTTAGCATTTGAGGTTTAGCAATAATTGTATAGATACTTGTCAGTTTTTATTTAAATACTTTTAAAGACTGTGATCCGAGAAGGATTTCAAGCCCAATAATTATACTGTTGATGTGTTAAAGTCATCAGGGCCTAGAAACCACCTGTAGCGAATACCTGCAAATACAATTATAGGCATTATACGCAAAGCACTGATGAAGCATGAGATTTTATTTCAGCTTTCAAAAATTCTTTTACAGAATGCAGCCATCAATAACAAGCCCAGAATTTATTCTATAATCACTCTTGAAAAGATGGTGTTCAACTTTAAACCACTGCAGAGGTCTTTTGTTACAGTGGCAGTTGAGTCTCAACTGCTCTAGATCATAACATATCTGAATCTGTTGATTTAAAAAACAAAACTAGTACAGACTAATGTAATTGGAGTGAGTTCCAGGATATTGACTAATGACAGGGATCAACTATTGATTACAGTTCCCAAGTCAGGATGGTGCGGGGGCTTGGAGAGGAACTTAGAGATAGTGGTGTTCCCACACATCTGGTACCCTTATCCTTCTACATACTGTTAAAGAAGCCTTAGGTGAATACCTGCAGTGTGTTTTGTAGATGGCACATACTGCTGCCATAGTGCACTGATATACAGGGAGGAATTAACATTTCCAGTGGTGGACGGTGTGCTGATTAAACAGGCTGCTTAGCCCTGGATCGCGTCAAGGTTCTGGAGTGTAGTTGGAGGTCTAGGCAAGAGGAGAGAATTCCATCACTACTCCCAAACTGTGGCTTATAGATAGTGGGTGGGCTCTGGGGAGTCAGGTGGTGAAAATATCTCAAACCTCCCAGCTTCTGATCTGCCCGCATAACCACTATTTTTACAGCTGGCCTGTTCCATTTTTGGTCAACGTGCATCCCACTATCGCCCCACATAAACAGCTGCAAAAGACTATTCACTTGCTTAAGCCTGATTGATTTGTGTCAGTTATCCATAGCTCTCAACTTATTTGTCAATTAAAAATCCGTCTAATAGGGAAGAAAATTCTAAACAGAAATGACGAGCATAAAAGCTTCCTCAACCCAGTTTTAACTGTGCCCTCTAGTTTTAGGCTTGCAGACCAGATGAAATATCCGCTCAGTATTTACCGTCAAACTCCCTCACAATCTCAAGTTTCACGGAGATCATCTCTACTCTTCTAAACTGAGTGTAGGTCCAACCTTTCCTCACATGACAATCCTACGTACAAGGACACAGCAATGTTAATGCTATTGAATGTCAAGGAGAGATGGTTGCATTGCTTTTTGTTGGTGATGATCAATGCCTAACACTTGTGTGGTGCATGTGTTAGGATCAGTTCATCTATCTTACTGCATTAAATTGATTATATGCAACGTTCCTCCTGTGAAGGATATATGGCTACAATGTGCTGAAGACAAAGACCCCTCATCAAGAGTTAAGTAGTGACAAGCAGTGGGAAGCTTCTAACCACCAAGTAAATTCTGGAACAATTGTAGTGCCCTTCCTGTTACTACAGATGCGTTATCTTAAGAGGTGTACAACTCTACAAATCCCATGTTTACATGTAGCTGTGCAGATCAGTTGGGTGCAAAAGGCAGCCAAAGTGATTGAAACTGAACACCAGAGGATGTAAGCACAATGCCAAGACAGAATAATGCACAACACAGAACGGCTTCTCCTTTGTCAACATATGTCATTAACAGAAACCTGTTCTATGTAAAATCAGAATTACTGTACATATGGTAAAGTCGAACTAGCAGCTGGTCACCAACTTAGCTATCTAACCACACTCACCTGTGAATTCAAGTTTGCTCCTGGCAGTCCAAGTGCAGCAAGAGTTGGATCCAATCCAGGATTCACATTCCCAAGAGGAGTAGCTAATGGAACATTGCTGAGCTGTTGGAGAGAAAAGAAATTGCCTGAAAAAGTGTTTTTTTGCAGAATTAAACTGAAAATTACCTTCAGTTTCCTGTACTGCTCAATTAAATTTACAACGCCGTGGAAGCCTAAATTGTGGATTATAAAATACAGACATATGGTTTGAAGACCATTCATGTTACTTTATGAAAAATAAACTGAAAAATCTGAACTTATCAATTGCAATTAGAAGACAAGTTAAATTTGGTGCCCTGCAATAAAATTTCATTTGAGTTCAATTTCAACACACTCACCTTCCCAAAGTGTTTATCTGCATCTGAAGCAAAATACAAAACAGAAGACACCAATTTACAGTTTGGTGACAATGCAGGGCCCAAAAACTAAATTTGTGACCTACATTTTGCGGTGCTACCGATGGCTTTTACTTGTTCATTTAACTGAAAACAGCAAAGACTAAATTCTGCAAATACTCAGCATAACATGGAAATCCAGAAGTTGCTTGATTACTCTGACCCAATTTCAGGCATTAAAATCTTCAGATAATGAAATCGTTGCTGATGGATTTACTCTTTTTTTGACTTCCTGACTGCTGACAACACTGCACCTGCAAATCCCCTTGACTTGGTTACTAGATTTAAGATGCTAACAGAAGAACAACAAAACTACTTCACAAAAAGTGCTAGATCTTTGTGAGCATCTTTATTTTGAGTCAGCAGTGAGTGCAGTTCCATCGCCTTTAACAGCAAACGATGGCCATAAGGAATGGGGGCACTATGATTCATTCATGAGGCTAAGGGGTTTGTGGATAGTGCATTTGAGGACTTAGTCACCCCCCAGCTTAAGTGTGTGAGGAATTGGTGACTGCCAGACAGAAAGCACGAGTGTTCCCCAAGTGCATCTCGCTTTCAATCCATTTTTTGGCACTGGATTGCAGTCTAACAGTTCCTCTCTGGAGATCAGGCAGAGCCAAGATCATAGCATTGGACCCGTACAAGTACATTACTTCTGAACAATAACAGGACCAATCTTGGGGAGAGACTTTAAAATGGTGTGTGTGTCGGGTGGGGGTGGTGTTAAAACAAGATTGGATGGAGGTGGGATCCTGATGAATCTATGCTTTGTCTCTAAGTGGTAAGTAGTGAGGAAGAAAGCCTCCTGCAGTTTCTAGCTATCAACTGATGAGACAGGTGCACAACAGCAGTGGCAAATGGAATTCAACCTGGAAATGTAATGCACTTAGGGAAGGGCTAACAAGGCCAGTGATTGTACTATGAATGGTAGAACCCTGGAAAGTACTGACTCTGAGTGACTTTGGTCTACAATCCACAAACCACTGATTGTAGCAGACCAAGTGGTTAAATAAGGCATTTATTAGCAGAGGCACAGAATAAAGGTGGTTATGCTGGAACCATACAAAACACTGGTCCGACCACAACTGAAGAACTGCATGCAGAGTGTTGGTCATCATTATTAGATGGATGTTGTTACATTAGAGGAGGGGCAAAGGAAATTTACTGGTGGAATTGGATGGCCTGAGCTGTAAGGAAAGATCAGACAGACTGGAGTTTTCTTCTTTGGAGTAGCAAAAATAGATATGTTAGCCAGAAAGATGCAAGAGATTATGAGAAGCATAGGATAGATATGAAGACACTTTCTCCATTAGTAGAGGGGTCAATAATCAGATGACACAAATTTATGCTAGAAGTAGAAGACGACTAAGAGGAGTGTTGAGAAGAAACTTCTTCAGCCAGAGGGTAACATACAAGTAGCATTTCAAGTTTCACTTGTGTTGCCGTAGCCTCCAGGGATGTGGGCCAAGAAATGGAAAATACAATAATGGTATTCAGATCTTTGCTGATTGGGATTGGCACAATGGGTCTATGACATTTAGGGTCTCAAACTGAATATCAGTACAGCTGCCATAACATTTGCTAACTTTGTTTAATATCTGTAGCAGGCAATAGACAAAGAAACAGCACCGTCCGGGAGACTCAGTATTATGTTAACTAGGCTAGGTATAATTTGAAAAAGGAAGTGCTTTTCTTGGGTGTGTATTAGGCATAAAGGGAGACAAGCAAAATAAATTTTCAAATCAAACATTTCTATTATGCCCAAAATAAATGGGAGCACTTGACTGCATAATCAACATGTAAACCAGTGTCAATACAAACGAGACAGCAAGAACTGCAGATGCTGGAGTCAGGGTCCTGACCCGAAACGTCAGCTTTCCTGTTCCGCTGATGCTGCCTGGCCTGCTGTGTTGCTCCAACTCTACACTTCGTTATCAATACAAATGAGGTCATGTTTACTTTTTTTGGGCTGGTAAGTAAAAGCTACTACTAAAAAATTGGGCATTTTGTGTGGTCGGGACTGTGTCTAAATTAAAAAAAACAAATCAAGTGGGTGAATGAGAGAGTCTTATAAATAGCAATCTTAATTGCTTCAGGGTTTCAAGTACCACCATTCACTGTCATCAAGATTGGGAAAAGTTGGAAATATGTACGATATTACGGTGCTTAAACAAGATTATTTTCACTCATTTGAAATTGAAGATTTTACTTACTGATGTCAGAGGATTAGGTGTTGGTAAAAGTCCACCTCCAGGCAGCAGACCTGCCACTGCATTAGCTGGTGCCAACAGAGACAAAGCCTTAGACTCATCAGGAATGACTCCTGTAGAAAAATTCAGATCTGCATTAGAAAAAGCCAACACAAGTTGAGACAATACACAAATACACCCAGCAAAACAAGGTCTCACTGTTTTCAGCACCTTAGCTTGTAGAAAGTACACATAATCTTGCTAAAATAGATTTTATGTTTTACTAATTACAACTGAAACCTTTTAAACTTTTAGAATGAAAAGCCATAGATGTAAAATTTGATTTTTTGCCCTGAATCTAAAAATCAGTATATACTATAGTAAAAAAATAAATAAATATCACAATACACACTACTTTTTTTTTGTAACACTGCCAAGATATTATCACCTGTACTCGATTTTTTAGTCATGAACCAAACGTAAGCAAGCACAGTCGGTTCTCCAGGGGTTGTGCTCTCAACTTTTCAAAAGATGTTTTATGAACAAGCGACTCGTGTCGGCTGCTTCACTATAAAGCACACAGAAAAATCAAGATACACAAGACAAAAAAAAGTTTATGATTTAGGGACCAAAATCATGAAAAAGTTCACTATGACTTGTTTAGAACTTACCATTAGACAGGAGAATTTCATGAACAAGCTGAAACATACTGCTCATTATATATTAAAAGCTACTTTTTGTGTAAGTGAACCACTTCTTTTTTTGCAATGTTACTAGACATCAATTTGCCACTGTGCCCCAATGCCCCATAATCAAGAGTGACATTCTGTAAATATATATACACACCAACTGCACATCTATCCTTTACAGATAATAGTAATTATCAGCACTGCATGTATAAAGATACTGTGTAGCACCTCAGCAAGAAAACATACAACAAGTAAAGGACACTTAAGAGAAACTGGATTAGCTGCAGAAGGCAAAACTGTTGGGTGGTATTTTCAGCAGGGCCTGGTAAATAGGTCTGGCTGAACCAGGGAAAAGAACTGTAAAACACAACAACAAAAAAAGAAAAACCACTGTTAAACAAAGGCAATGGTTCCACTTTCTGTACTGAGCAGTGCTGATAAAATTAACAGAATGCACTTAGCATAGCGTTATCAGGGTCGTTTACATCACTGAGATGCTACCGACTGTCATAAATAAAGGATTGTCTTTTCAATGATTTATGAAAATTATTACGCAGTTCATATGTACCTTTGGCATTTATACTCAGATGGAAGATGAATTTGACAGGAGGGAAAGAACAAAGAAAAAAATAGGGAAAGGAAAACAGACAAAAGAATGAGACAACTGACAGCCATCGTCTACCAGTAAACAAGAATTCCGACATGCTGTAAGTCCTTTTTCAAGCTGAGCAAGTTATTGCATGTAATACTTGCTTACCGTATTTCTTGATTGTATTTAGCTAATCCAGACCTTCATTACAGCAATCACAATCACACACACATTAAAACATGCAAATAAAAGAACCTCTTCACAGGGCCCCAGAAAAGTTAGATTTTGAGATCATATAGTCAGAGTCATACAGTATAGAAATGCGGTCTTTGGCCCACCACGTCTATATCTGTAACACTCCAAGCAATTGGTAAAATTTCGATCCACAAATTATCACAATTTTCACAAGTTGCTTAATTGACCTACTAACTCAACCAGAAATGTTTTCATCCAAGTAACTTGGCTTGGTGTATCAAAACACACAAGTGGCGCATGGTACATGGCTAAAAACCTTACTCCTTTAATGTAATAAACATGCCTAAAAATAAGAAATTTTATAGGTAAATTACAACATACTAACTTATCTACAGCCCTGCAAGAATTCATTTTCTTTAAAAAAGTCAGTGTAGTATAATGTGAGATTGCAGATACCATAAAGCAGGACATTTTGGCTTACACAGTCTCGTGTTGCCATTCCAAGAGGATAATTTGATTTATAAATTGAATTGTTACCAATCACTTTCTAGTCTCACACAAACCAAAATGAATGGTGCCAAAATTACCTACTCTATAGTATGTAATCCCTTGCAAAAAAAATTCTCTTTCAGCCTGCCCTGTCTCAATTTGCTGAATTCTTTCCTTCATACAATCTAAATTGGATAACATCAAAGCCTAGAAATATAGAAACAGTGAAGAGAAAAGGTAGTTAACAAGAACAAATGATTACAACAGGACAACACATGGGGACTCTTATGCTTGCTGGCCTTTTGTAAATTGCCTAGAATCCCCTGTCGCTGCAGAGGACCCACTTTTTCAGTCATCGGGGAAGGGGCTCTGCAAATGCCTTCTCCACTATAAAAATCACACACACAGATAACAGAGAGAAGAATTTATTATTTTGGGTGATGATCTGGTTTTATGAAACAATATGGTTATTTTAAAAAAGTCCACCTTCACAAAAGCACATAAAAAGCTGGAATAACCAACTTTTTAAAACTTTAGACTAGGAAGTCCCACCCCATTAACAACCCTTGGTATACTGCATAATAAAGAAACAATTTGAGAATACTCATGTATATTTTGATTAAGAATTAGAATGCCAGGAAGTTCACTTACATTCATTTTAAAAGGGATTCTCTCATGCAGATGTATACAAATGTTTTCAGGATTGATAGTATAACTATATCCATTGTACTGTTTATAACTGAATTCAATAGCCTGGATTATGAGCAACATTTGAAAAAATATTAATGCTCCAGTGCATTAAAGATCATTCGTAAAACACTTCCAAAATGGACAATGGTCAGAAAATTAGTTTGAAATGATCAGTGTTTGACATTACTCCAAGATGTGTTATTCTCATGTATACCCTTTTTGCATAATTACTAATGGGCTCTTCACAAGAAATAATAATGTGCACTGTCAGGGCTTTGGTTTAATAAATAGAGCCAAGAACCTCTTATCTTTCAAGTTAATAGTACAAAAATTTGATGGCAAAAGCATTTAATTTTTATAATGCAATCCATCTTTAAATGCAACCACCCTGTCCATAATCAACTGTTCTATAATGTTTAATGAGTCAATCTATTTTGCAATCATCTCTCTCTAAAAGTATTCACTTAAGTCAGTCAAATAAAAGTCAGGCAGTTCCATCATAAATTTCTCAAAATACACTGCAGCATTAACATTTTGCATTTTTGTTGTTAATGATGGCCGTATACCAAAGGTTTAAGGATCAAGATCACTAATAACGCTTAGCATGCTGGTACGTTGGAATTTACAGAAATGCTCAATTGGGTACAACTGTGGTTGTAAAAGGGTGAAACCCCAAGCAATAAAACACAAACCTTCTGTATAAGGTACAACTATCAAAGCTCTGTCAATGAAGACTGTGTTTGTCAAATGCTGCGCCACTCCCACAGCGTCAGGATCATGAAACTTTACGAAACACACACGAGACGTCACAGGTAATGGTGATTCACTGAAAGAACAAAAAGAGAAAAAACTGAAATGAAGTGTCAGGATTAGATCGCATTTATTAAAAAGAGAAAAGTCAATACCCAAGAATGGATTTTGAAATAAGTTGAAGTTGCTTTGAAACAGACAGGGTATTACAATCAATTTTACTATCATTTCTGTTAGCGTACAGTAGGCACAATAAATTACAAGGAAAGAAGCAATGGCGTACTGGTAATGTCAGTGGACTAGTTAGTATGCTAAAACTTCAGATTAATGCTCTGGGCAGGTGTTCTAATCCCACCATGGCACTGTAACATTTGAATTCAACAAGCTAGAAATAAATGCTAGTCTCAGTAATGACCGTGCAAACTGCTCTTAAAATTTTAAAATTCCAGATGGTCCTTTAGAAAAGGAAGGAAATTTGTAATCCTTATCTGGCCTGGCCTACATTGTGATTCAGCACTGTCATTGATAATTTTAAATTGCCCTCCAAAATGGCCCTAACAAGCCATTCAATTCAAGGGGAAATTAGGGGTGCTGGTAATGCCCAAATCCCATGAACTAATATTTTAAAAAAATGAATATCCAGATTACTCTTGAAGAGACTTAACAAATAAAGCATGTCATAAGAGAAGGCCTGGAAAGCAAATATAACTGCAGAGTAAGAGTGGGCAGCCAATGGTTGCCTTCACAACTGCTCCGAATACATGAGCTAAGATTTGTGCACACTGATGTAACAGAGCCAGGGTGCCGATCTAGAATCGTCCCATCAGAGTCTACTCTTATCCATCTCCATTATAAAGGGTTTAAACCCATGGCTTGGGGCCTCAAGATGAGTACAAACCATTTGACAGGGGTAGAAAGCAAAATTCCACAATATCTCTACAGTTAAGTCAGTCCAACACTATGTAGGATCCCCCAACCCCTTCCCAAGGTACAAAGGTGCTGGAAAAGCCATACTTAACATTATCTACATTACTAATAAGGATCAGCAAGGCATTTGTAGTTCTGGATAGGAAATACGAAAGGAAAAATCGTCACCATTTTAAGTAAAGGACCACTTCAGGAGCAAACTGAATCACTGATTGTGAATGCAGTTTTTGAAGGATGTCACATTGCTGACTCTTTTAAATTCTGTGTAAATCAGTGTTTACGAAAGAGAAAATAAATGCTAATAAATTTTCTTTTAAAAAAAATTGAAGGTCATGAACTGAAAGCATGTGTTAGGAAGAAATTACAGAGTGCTGGTCACTACAAAATGCTAACGTCAACATTTATACTCTGATATTTTAAATAAGCTCTTCCATCCAACTGAGTTGATAAGTGACCTTACTGGGAGCTTTAAAAATTTAGATTTAGGAACAATCAGCAATTCCAATAGTAAACCATTCCAGTTTTGTTTTTAAATTGGATTTTAGGTAAATTTAAAGTTTTAAAACTTTGGCAAACTTAATTCTTCTCTAGCAGGACAATGCTGCTTCTAATTTTTGTAAACACTATTTCACAGCATTACTTTCAATCTGCACAAGGCAAGCCAGAAAACATTCAGATCACCACAATCAAAACATCAAGATGATAAACTCTAATTAGAACAGTCAACACAAGTTATCATCAATACCTCATTCAAAATAGCCATTAAGCTCTTTTTCCTGACCATGTTTTTTTTTATGCTCCTTCTTTGCATTTTCAGCCTTTGCCTTTTTAATTTTCCATTTCTTATTCTGTATCTTTATCCAATATACGAAGGAAAATTCATGCTTAATAATTAGTTTTTGTTTTGTTACGATATTATGACCTGATCTCAAACAAGGCTCCAAATGGGTCATGCCATGGTATTAAGCTCCCACGTGGACAGCGATGAATTGGCTCCCTTTCTACATAATTGTTCACACCTTGGTCGGTTACAACAACTCCTTTTCTTAAATTTTCTTCCAGACCTAATGAACTGGTTTAAATTGAGTCAATTTAATGAGGCTTTCTTGAATTGACAAAAATGGTGAGTTTATTCATTAATATACATGAGAAGAATTAGTAACACAGCACTTTTGCACAGATTAGAAACAGATGACATGAAAAGGATAAAAGTTTTTAAAAAATATACAGATCAATCTCGGAATTTTTTGCAAAGAGCAGATAGTTGAATGTTGCAGTTCAGATAACTGGTAGTGTTGATATTGGCAGTTGAAGGAACTATCATTTAGTTTTGTACAAAGTGTAGAGCTGGATGAACACAACAGGCCAAGCAGCACCAGAGGAGCAGGAAGGCTGATGTTTCGGGCCTAGACCCGTAGGCTGGATTCCTTTTTTAAAAACTCATTTGTAGCACTCAAGTGATGAGTTCCTTCCATTACCTGCAACACAGCATAATGAAGGGATAGCTCTTCGACTGTGACCTTCACAGCATTTCAATGCTCGAATCCAGGCTAGTGCACACAAATGCGTTTGGTCCCACTAGTCCACTTCAGTAGCATTTAAACTATTTTTTAAACCACTCTCCTCGTCTGTTTTACCCTCTGGGAACATACATCCTGCAAAAAATGGCTTTTGCCGAGCAGGGAAGACAGTCATCCCCCTTGTGAAGTATCCTTTTCAATTTTACGTGTGACATTCCATTGATTTCGCACAGTATTCTGCCAACAGTCTGAATTTAGCTCTTAGGTTTATTTTTGTAGCAGTCCTCCTTTTAAAAACATACACTGGAAAGTTAAAACGTTTATAAATACTACAGTTTTGATCCATTATCATGGTTGAGTAATTGAAGTATATTAATCAGTTACCCTAATACTAAGTTATTCTGTTTAATTGTACCCAGAAGGCACTACACCATATAACTAACTGCTGGTCTGCAGCTGAAAATTGAGGCCCTGTTGCTGTACTTTATTGGCTTAATTACAGGGTAGATTCGCAAAGTTGTCAAGGTTGAATGAGCAAAGCTTCTGTACCATGGTACACTCCATAAGATCTGACTAAATGTTCATTCCATAGACTCAGAACAAGAAGTTAGGAAACGTATGTGGTGTACATAGCAACAGCTGTGAGCTGTCAAGCCTTCAGCCTTTTGCAGTTTTTAACTTGCATCAAAGAAGCAAAAACTATATTATGTATCCTTTGGCTAGAACCACGTTCAAAGAAAATTCTGAGCAACAGTTTCTGCAGCTGTGTAGTCCTTTATGACTTCCATTCCTCAAGACTGCATATTAACTGAATGTGCAAGTGTTTTTCACTCCCCTCGGCATGAACGCACTTTACATACTGATTCCCATACACACTTTGAATAGATTTTAAGTATATCTACTTTGTAATTTCTGCAGTAGTTTTAAGGTTGCAGGCAACATTGTTTCTTTTGTTATCTACTGCTTATTGCCACTGCAAAATGTGGGTCCCAGGCAACCAAGCAATCCAATGCTCGGCTTGCCCACAAAACAGGGATGGAGCAAGTGGTTCTTTTGAGTCAGGTGGTTGGGATGCTGCTGCAATTTGCACACGCTCCTTTTGCTCGCCTCCACCTGGGCCTGTCAGAGATGCTTTAAATGGTTAGTATTTTGCGGATACTACTATTACAGTTTGGGCAAGTGATTCTGGCGAGCCAATGAGGATATTCTAATATTTTCATGGAGGCTTTGACATGCCCTTAAAGATTTTCCTCTGACTTACAGTAACTGCCTGCTGTGGAAAGCTCAGAGCAGAGAACCTGTTATGGAAGTCTTGTGTCAGACCACTGATAACAATGTGGGCTGCCCAACCAGCTGATCAATTGTAACCAGTGTCTCAATGCCCGAGAGAGGGCACTGATATTGGGGCATCTATTTTGCCACTGGATTTGCAGGATATTGTGCAGGCGTCACCAATAACATTTCTTTAGAGATTTTAGCTGTCTATTTTACAACGTCTCCTAGATATTCCGAAGGATAGATTACATTGCTGCCCTGTACACCATGAGCTTGGTGCTAAGTCTGGTCCATCTGTGATCTGATGAAGATTTCAAAGTGTAGAATTTCTTATTAATGCCTGACCTCACTGACAAGCAAATAGTCTCTACTAAAAACACAATCAGGTCTCCATCTTAATGTGAGTTCTATAAGACTACCTCACTTGACAGAGTCCAGAGATCATTTGTTAGGCAATATTGACACCGTAGCTTTAACCTCACACAGGTACACATCAAAGGCATGTTAAGGTGCCGTGCAAAATCACTTACATCAAAGTCTGATGTCATGAAGGAAGGCTATTTTGTGTGCGCGCGCGCATGTCAATAGCACATGGAATACTTCCCAGAAGTAATTGACATTTCACAGAGCTAGTTATGAGAAAATGAGAAATGACACCAGTACATGATCATCCTTAAGGGCCAATCAAAACTCAGCCAATGTTTCACTTGGCACTGAGCACAATGTTATTGACCATGCAGATGGGTTGGGGTTTGGAAAGAGTTAATAAGTACCAGCTTTCAGTAAGCAAAGCGCATGCTGAGTTTTAAACCTGCAAAGATGTCCAAGAGACTAATCGCCTTTACACTTGCACTGCTGTTTAGTGAGCCATTTAATACACTGCAGTATTACATTAACACGATTGTTTATTCTGAACTAAATATTAACATGCTCTTTCAAGTCTTAAGGCATCGCAAAACATTATATAATGAAGGAATTGTTTCTGAAATATAATGTTGTGTTTTAAGTGTATAATTAGTTCTGATAGGAGAATGAGAAATGTTAAACTTGTCAGATTAATGACTTCATATATACAATTATAAAAAAAGTACTGGGTTGGAGGTACTTACATTTAGAAAGGAGACCACAAGAGAAATTTGAAACTTATGTAGCAGGCTATTATAATCTAAACAATGCAGCTGGAAAACAAAGCAGCAATTTAAGCACC